TAATAGCAAAGACCGAGGGGGAGGTGCTGTGTTAAATGAATAGTTCACCCAAAATTGATCATTTGCTTTAAAAAAAAAATGGCCCCGTTAGTCCATTCAAGATGAAGATGAGTTTCCTTCGTCATGACTGATTTTTGAGAAATGTATTACATCACTTGGTCACCAGTGGATCCTCTGCAGCGAATGAGTGCTGTCAGAATGAGAGTCCAAAGAGCTGATAAAAACATTGTAATAATTCACAAGTAATCCACATAACTCCAGTCAAAAAAGAAAAAATTCCAAAAAGCACCATAAAGTGATTCATGTAATAATTTACTGAATATATTGCTGTCCATCATAGCTCCATTCTAATGTACTTTCCATATTAAAACGGCAAAAAACATGCAACCATGATGGTAAAATGTTGTGAACTAAGAAATCCTGAGTGATTGTTATCACATTGCTAGAGTGTTGCTCTTTGGTCCCAATAATCTATGATATACTGTACTCATCCTAATATATGGCTTGCGTTCCAGCAAGTCTATAATAAGTCTATACGTGGAGAAAGCTATGTCTGTTAGCATTCCCAGTGATTGATCATTCTTTGTCACATGTTTTTTAACCCATACTGTTGTCATATGTAAGTGCAATTTGTATGGCGTAAACTCATTTAATGTAACTGTTAGGATCACTAGGGGGCAGTATATACCAAGAGTGATAAGTGCTAAGTGCTTGAGAACGGTATATTGTGCACGTGTTGTTTTTGTCCCAGACACTTCAAACACTTTTTCCCTCGCTGATCTTGATGTAACTCACGTACTTTGCGGATCCTTTCAACTGTCACTTTCTTAACGATAAACACAAAGGTCAAATCACAAAGGAGAGCTTTTTAACCAGCGACACAGTGTTTTGTGTGTTTTTAAATACCTACCACTTTCTGCTAGTAACATCTTTTCTGTCTGTCAAGACAAGTTTTGTAGACTTCATAAAATTGAGGGAAAATGCTTTCGGTGTTGCTTTATTCTCTGGGCAGTCAACGACATTTAAAAGGATGAAGTTTATTTATCTACCTGGCTTTTTGTTTGAAGAGGACTCTTTCAAGGCCACAACAGCCTGCAGAGCGGTTGCATCTCCACCTTTTAGACCTTCAGCCATTTCAGATTTTCCTCCTCTCATTTTCAAGGCGTGTTTTCCTGCCCTCTGAGACACCTCTCTGTGGTGTGTAGGAATGGTTTTCCAACAGGCACGGCTGATTGAATAGGACCCGGCCAAGCACAATGAGGGGCTTTTCATCAAATTGGCCTATTGAAACCCACGTGTGGCCGTAAACACTGCGGGTATATGTTTGCCATAGCCGATTGGGGGTTAGGTGGGCTTTATTGGTCATCTGACCCATGCATGTTTTCTATTTTATAAAGCTAGTTTGGTTTACCCGTGTGTAAGTATGCCGAGGAACTGATCGAAACGTTCTCACGTTAAAATATGCACCTTGTGTAAAGTCCACTGGTGGTGCATGAGATAGAGGAAGTGTCTAGTTCTCCCTGGTGGACTGGTGCCTTTCTCACCTCCCTCATCAGTATTCCGGCAAGTTTGTGGCACGCATACTTCCTACTGGTCACTGAAGCCAGATCAGCGCTCCCCCAACCCCCGCGCAGCACAGACATGCCCGGCGAGAGCAGCGCGCCACGCACACTCATGAATACTGATCACCTAAAGCCCTAATTAACAATCAGAGCCAAACTTATTTACATAAAGTCTGTTCTCAGATGGAACAGGCCTCAGATGAAGCTGTCAGACAGATATCTGCACTTAAAAATCCAGTGAAATCTATTAGACTATGAAGGGTCGCTGAGTTTAATGGCACAGCAGCCAAAAGGAACAGTTTGGGCCTGTAGTTTAACATTATACACAGTATATGTAGACTCTGATTATATTCTCTTTCACACGCACATATGAATTACCATGCATATATAAGTCATTTAAATCCATTTTAAATTCATTTTCATGGTGTCATCTTGGGATCAACACACAAGCATGAAACGTACGATAAAAACAAGATTTTGTTTGAAATCCGTTAAGACTATGATGGGTTGTTAAGCCTAACAGTAACCATTCAGGACTGTGGTATATAATGTGTATGTATTATGTGTCATATTATATCTTCTCTCCATGAAAATTAATGTAAAAATACTTAAGATTACTCATTAAAATAAATATATATACGTTATGCAAATATTAAGTGTGTGTGTGTGTGTGTGTGTGTGTAAGAATTAATGAATTATTCTCCTGGGAGCATCACACACGAGCATTAAATCTTGAGCATGAGCATAAAATCCTAAAATATATATACATACATACATACATACAGTACATACATACATACATACAAGTAATTTTTACCGTATTTACTTGAGTTTTATGCTCATGTGTATTGTTTCAAGGAGGACACCACAATAATAAATTAAACTAATATAATAAACAATCATTTATATAAATCAACTGGTGGTGCATACATATTATATATATAAAATCATTTATTTTCATGGTGCATATACAGTATGTATGTAATACTGTATGATATATGAATGGTCATTCATGGTTATGGAGCAACAAACTTGAGCATGAAACTCAAGCAAATACGGTAAAAACATGATATTATTTTACCCAGCTGTGTGTACTGTATAAGGAGTAATAGTTTTCATCTGAAGGTATGCCTGACCTTTCCGACTGTCCAAAAATGTCAGTTAGGCTTTCAGGCACGGAGCTGAGTTTCTCTTTAAGGTTGCCTCCCACAATCTCTGACATTTCCTCTGATGTCACCACATTCTAACCCCCACAATGCTGTGCGGATGGCCTCTCCTCCCTGCCCTCACCCAGAAAGACAGAGAAAAGACAAACAGACAGACACTATACGTTTAGTCTAGAAATGGACGATAGAACCAAGAAAATGTTGTAATCACAATAGTTTCCAACCTCAACTTCTTCACTTTTAGTCCTGTTTTCTTTAACTATATGCAAAATGTTGCTGGTTGTCAGTGTTCTTTTCTATCTTGAATTCTTTGCATTTTGCTCATACTGCTTTCAGATGTGTCTGTGTATTAATAATGAAAACTGACTTTGTTTTATTAAAAATAATTAAAACAATTCTAAATGTCAAGGTGCTCTTTCATTTCTTAGTCTCTTTCAGTGTTTATTCTTTCTATTTTTCATTCTGTCAGATTATCTCTCTTTCATTTTCTCTGCCATTTGACACCAGGGTCATTAACATGTCACGGCTTCACTGGCTATGCATTGCTAAGGACTTCATTTGAACAACTTTAAAGGCGATTTTCTCAGTATTTTGACATTTTTATTTTATTTTATTTTTTTGCACCCTGAGATTCCAGATTTTCAAATAGTTGTATCTCAGCCAAATATTGTCCTATCCACCATCAATAGAAAGCTTATTTTTTTCAGCTGTCAGATGATGCATAAATCTCAATTGAAAAAAATTGACCCTTATGACTGGTTTTGTGGTCCAGGGTCACATATAGGAATTCATTATATTATATCCTTTAATCCTGCCTTTGTGTAGGCTACAACATCAGTTGTATGTTGTCCTTTGCCACATATAAATGACAGGAATTATATTTGTATATTTAAGTGAATTCCCAAAGGATGTTTAAATCCGCTAGATTTGATAGTGTTTAACATGATATAGCCTACTACTTGTGCGTGAGAGAGAGAGTGAAAAACTGGACTCTCAGTTGGAGTCCGGTAGAGCGCATGCGCAGTAGGAGATGAAGCTTCTCCGCTTTCTTTTCGGCAGCTGGCGTGAGGTTCTGGAATTCCAACATGGCAGTAGATGTGGTCAGTATTTCTATGGTGGTCAGTCTCTCCAGCCCTGACTTGGAAGCATTCCAGAACATCACCGACTTGGAGTAGCCCTCATCCCCCGTTCTCAGCAGCACGGCTGTACGCTGTCGCCGTTCTCCGGCGCCGAACAGGTAAATCTTTCACTTTGTTTGTGTCCACCAGCTGTCCGTTGTACCGGAGAGAGAGAGAGAGAGGCCATGCCACAGCACGGACAGTGCTCTCGGACACTCGGACACAGGCCCGAGCAAAACATAGCGCGCAATTTTTGTTCGGCGGGACTCTAAATAGCGTGAAATTATGATAGTTTGAGCACTAGGCAAGAAGTTTTATTATTGGAGCAGAGTTCTATAATAAGGCAGCATTGATCCGTGTGTGTGTGTAGTGTGTCCAGGCGAGAATAACAGAGAGACATTCTCACCTATCAGCACAATTCAGTATGATCTCTGACTTAATTTAGAAATCTCATTTTAGCTATTATCAATGTTTCCTTTGCAATAATATTAAAATATAGCATTGCCAAAACAATCCAGAGTGA